ACAACCCATAATGAATCCTACTGGTCATAAGTAAATAATATCATCAAAGATGTAAATGTTTTGAGATGCTGAATCTGAAGCCACTTACCAACATACAAGACAGTAATGAAATTGGACCAGCTACTAATCACAGCACCAGCCCACAAGCTTACTACAGCCTGAAAACATATTCACATTAAAGAAGCATCTACAAGAAAATCAAAACAGCAATCTAACAAAGTTCCTAGAGTGTTATAATCAAAGAAACTCCATCCAATATCGCAGATTCTTGCAAAACTAAGCCAGCATACTTATATGTCCCATGTTTTGGTGTTCATATTTTCAACTAACATATTAGTTGCATATATCATTTCCTGAATCAGCAGCTAGTTCAGGAAAGATAGAGTGGCCTTTTCAAATGGCTTGTGAGATTCCACATCGGTTGGAGGGAACGAATCATTTCTTATAAGAGTGTAAAAACCTCTCCTTAGTAGATGTGTTTTACAACTGTGAGACTGACGGTGATACGTAACGAGCTAAAGCGGAAAATATCTATTAGGGGTGGGTTTGGGCTGTTACAAAATGGTATTAGAGCTAGACATCGAGCAATGTGCCAGCGAGGACGCTGGACCCCAAAAGGGGATTGTGAGATCCCACATTGATTGGAGAGTGGAACGACGCATTCCTTATAAGGGTATGGAAACATCTCCCTAATAGACGCGTTTTAAAATCGTGAGGCGGACAGTGATAAACAACGGACTAAAGTGGACAATATCTGCTAGCGGTGGGTGTCTGTCTTCTTTTCTTTTACCACTCATGTCTATTGTTGATAATGGCATTCATTGATTCAGATAGTTCATGGTTTTAAGCTGATCCCCTTTAGAATGCTACCATCAGTGTTTCCAAGGCAACCTCAGGCATGCACCTAAGGTGAGAGGTGAGGGGAGCTATGAGTTTAAGATCAATAACAGAAAGTTGATGCTCGTATTTATTCAATTTCAAGGTCTTGAACTGAAATACTCATATATGAATGTCTAGTGCAGAGAATACTAATGTGAGATCCCACATCGGTCGGAGAGGAGAACAAAACATTCTTTATAAGGGTGTGAAAACCTATCTCTAACAGGCGAGTTTTAAATCTTGAGGGGAAGCTCGGAAAGAAAAACTCAAAAATGACAATATTTGCTAATGGTGAGCTTGGACAGTTATAAATGGTATCAGAGCTAGACACCGGGCGGTGTGCCAACAAGGTGACTGAGCCCCAAAGGGGGGTGGACACCAAGCGGTGTTCCAGCAAGGATGTGGGGCCATGAAGGGAGGTGGATTGTGAGATCTACATCGATTGGAGAGGAGAACAAGTGTTAGCGAGGACGCTAGGCCTCGAGGGGGGTGGATTGTGAGATCCCACATCGGTTGGAAAGAGGAACAGAACATTCTTTACAAGAGTGTGGAAACCTCTCCCTAGCAACCTTGAAGGGAAGCCCAGAAGGGAAAGCTCAAAGAGAACAATATCGGTAAGCGGTAAGCTTGGGCTGTTAGAACTAATGATCTTTAGAAATGCACAAAATTGCAAAACTAGTACATAAAATATGATAGCATACCCCAAGGAATTGTTTCAAATCTCCATTACAAGCAATATCTTGGAGAAAATGAAGAGCTCGGTTAACCTCGGCACCGAATGAGACGGCAATTTCGACAAATAGTTCCTCAGGAAGATCGAGGTGAGGAACGTTAGACGATGTTCTGCAAGTGCACGAAGTATGTTACAGAATGCATCAGCATTTGTTAAACCAGAAAATGCATTGAAGTCAATGGGAAATAATGGCATAAACGTCTATTTTCCAATCACCTGTCCAGAAATCCTGAGGTATTTGTCCAAATAAACTGAAACAACATACCAAGAACCAGAGCAAAGCAAACAATAGTCAAGAGGTGGTAACTTAGCCATTCAAACAGTATCCAAATAATAGTTGCACCAGTCAAAACACTGGCTGAGATTTTCTTGTTCTTCCATAGCAGCACATCAGCAGCTACAAATATTTGATCAGCAGAGAAATCAAAATGAAGTAATATGATTCATGACATGAAAAAGGTTATAGAAGATGAAAAAAAACTAAGAACATATAAATAAGGATATACATTTTCCGCCCCCGAGAAGATGGTGAACGGACTTTTTTCGTCCAAATATCCGCTTGTTCTGACCAGTCACTGAACTCAATAACGATACTGATTCTGCCTTATGACCACGTTCAGCAGGAGCTTCAGAAAAATTCTGAGGAACATCCTTAGCAAGTACATTCTCAGACATCGTTCTTGTGCTTCAAAGAAGAAATAACAAGCAAAAGAAGCCAAAGTTAAGGACTGAGCTGTTATTCACCAAGAAGGCAGATTGATAAAAATATAAACAAGCACAAAATAAGAACAATAATAGTCAATAGGATGCATGAGATTAATCATATGAGTAAAGAAGCAAATCAAGGTCCAAGCTCCTTGCCAAAACTTTCCACTCAAAAAAAGCATAAGTCGATCTATAACAGTCATATCTGCTAGCGATGGCTTTGGATTGTTACAAATGGAATCAGAGCTAGACACTGGGCGAGGTGCCAGCGAAGAAAGGGGTGGACACAAGGCAGTGTGCCGACAAGAATGCTAGACTCCGAAGAGGGATGGATTGAGGGGTCCCACATCCTGACGACTGATAACATGAATGATTCAGAGAGGGTTGAGTGCTCAGTTGCCTCCCGTTCATAGTTTTGCTACAGATGATACGATTGAAGAAGGAAATGAGTGTTAGTGAGGACGTTGTGTCCCGGAGGGGATGGATTGTAAGATCCCACATTGGTTGGGGAGGAGAACGAAACATTCTTCATAAGGGTGTGGAAACCTCTCCCTAGCATACGCGTTTTAAAAACCGTTAGGAAAAGTAAACCAGGGAAAGCCTAATGAGGAGGGCAATATCGGCTAGCCCAGAGCATCCAACATTTTAATCCACACCCAGGAGGAGGATACCAAGTCAAGATCAAAAACAATCCAAATCTCATTTAAGCATCAAAATCTTCAGATTCATCCAAATATTCAGCGTGGTAATGCAAGATAAAACGAAATAGAATCTTCAAGAGACAGAGGAGGATGAAACAATATGTAAGAGATTAACAGGATGCTACCAAGATTACATCAGAAGTAAACAAAAAGAGAAAGATCAAATCTACAACAACTATGAAGTAAAACAGAGCTAGCAGCATTTAACCCCATTTAAGCATCAAACAAACAAATTAAAAGATGGAATCATCCTGAAAAAGAAGCAAAACAAGCAGAAAATCATCAAAATCTAAAATGGAACTCAAGAACACAAACCAAGAGCAGGAAATTAATGGGTCCTCGAGGAAGAAACAGAAGAACAGATAGATGAAAGTGGGTTCTGAAAAAACTCCGTGAAGTACTACAAAAAAACGAGTGATAAAAACCGTAGACGATGAGAGAAGTAAAAAGTTACGGGATTCCAAGAACATCAACGGGAAATGACTTACTGAAATTATTAGCGGGCCACCACCGACCCAGGTACGAAAATTCCGAGTGGGTCGCATTGAATTTTGCATGTTGACGGAAGCCAATCGCGAATGCCTTTTGGTCAGCTGTGATTCTTTTATCGGAAAGAAATAAGATCATCAGCTGACTAGGAACGAAACGGAGAGAGGATCTATAAGAATACCTAATTTCTTGAATTTGCCCCTTTGGACAATCAAATGATTGCTCCTTCTGTTACACGCGATCTAGTCTTAACTTGAGATTTTACTTTGGCAATTTATTTGGTACGATGTGGCATAAATTTGTTTGCCACTTGAAGTCGAGAATAAGTTAAATATTTAAATAGATAAATGTAGAAAATATAAAAATCAATTATCTCTAGGTTATTTTTCGCATATTTATTTTCTTCTAACAACTTCCCGTCAAATGATTTCCTCTTAGAAAAAGATTCCAGTTGTCGATTATTTTGTTGATTGTCGAAAAATAACAAGTGGTATCAAAGTCGGGTTGAAGCCATCGGTGATATATCATTTCGGAAGAGCCAATCTTATCCATAGTAAAATTGAATAGCTCAAGTGGTTAGGAGTCGATCTAACAACACACAGGTCTCAAGTTTGAGTGGAAGAAAATGCAAAGAGCGAAAATACACACATCGTGGGATCCATCCCGAGTAGGCTCTTTCATGGTGACTGCATCAGTCCTACCTGACGTACCTAATTCCGATCTCAAATCCACGGAGATAATTGGCGACGGCTCCATCGTCGAGATTGAAGGGCACGGAACCATCCTATTTGTCGGCAAGCGAGGCAAGCACCAGCTCAAGGCTAATATTGTGAGTCTGGGTCAACTCGATAAGGCCAGCTGCCACATTTTGGCCTCTATTTCATCCCGAGGCTCAAGGGGTGAAAGAGGCGAGAAGCAAGAACACCGATGATGGGTCCTCAACACAGGGCAACAGACCATATGACCATAAACTTTTTTGTTTGACTATTTGACAAACACGTCGATTATCCTTGCTGATTGTCGAAAAACAACATTTAGTACTCAATGGCGCGTTCATACGATTCAAAGAAAATTAAGTTAACAATTAATTTTCATATAATTGATCGATTTTATGTTAAAATTGGGCCTCATCTTGACGTGTGACTTGATGAAATATGTAACGAGATTAGTCAAATAATAATAATTTTTATGCAACAAATATATCCAATATATTTTAAATATTTTTAAATAGAATGTCTATATATTTTTATATAAAAAAATCAATAATAAATTAACGGGAAATGGATTAAAATATCAAATAAAAAAGATCCACCAATAAGAGCATGACATGTGTACAAAGATCTTCCAAAAATGAGTTGAGTGGAGTGAGAGGAGATTCTCAAATATTGCTGACTGTGCAGCAGAAATGTACAGTTGGCACCAATCATAACCTCTAAATCCTTATCCAAAAATCAATAATCTCATCCCTTCCTCTTCTTCTTCTTCCCCGCAATCCAAACGCCGACCATTTTCCTCCACACAAACCCAAAACTCACATAAACAGCAACAAAAATCTCACGAACTCCACACATTATTCTATACCCACTTCCAAATCCCCCTTCTCATTCACTTACAGCCTCCAACAATGGCTTCCACCTCCTGTTTCCTCCACCACCACGCCCTCACCGCCTCCTCCGCAAGATCGTCGTCCTCCCCACGCCAGGTGGCTCCGCTCAAGCCTGCGCAGCTGCTTGTCTGCCGTGCCCAGAAGCAGCAGCCCGTTCTGGAGGAGGACGGCGGCGTTGTCTCTCGCCGATTGGCTCTCACTGTCCTCATTGGCGCCGCTGCTCTTGCCTCCAAGGTTTCTCCGGCTGATGCTGCTTATGGAGAAGCTGGTAATTGGATTCATCCACTTGGGAATTTGAATAATCATCTTCTGGAATTCATTTCAGTAATTTGTCAGCTTTGTTTGCTCTGTTTTAGCTGAATTTTAGTGCAATTCTTATCTTGAGATCTCATTCGTTAACTAGTTTATGTTAGGAATCACAGACTCTCCTATGATCATCCCCTAAATTAGTCAATTTTGGATTTCCCTCCCAACAATCCTCCTCTACCATAGAGCCTTTCCTGAGGCCTATAGAGCTCTTTAATAGCCTCCCTTCTCTGAATTGAGGCTCGACTCCTTTCTCTGGAGTCCTCGAACAAAATACACCATTTGTTCGATACTTGAGTCACTTTTGACTACACCTTCAAGACTCACAACTTCTTTGCTCGACATTTGAGGATTCTATTGACATGGCTAAGTCAAGGGTATGACTCTGATACCATGTTAGAAATCACGACTCTCCACAATGGAATGATATTGTCCACTTTGAGCATAAACTCTCGTGACTTTGAACAAAGTACATCATAGAGTCTCTCCTGAAACCTATGGAGCCCTCAAACAGCCTCCCTTTAATCGAGGCTCGACTTCTTTCTCTGGAGTCCTAGAACAAAATATACCCTTTATTCGACACGTGAGTCACTTTTGACTATACCTTCGAGACTCACAATTTCTTTGTTTGACATTTGAGAATTTTATTGACATGACTAAGTTAAGGGTAGGGCTCTGATACCATGTTAGAAATTACGACTCTCCACAATGGTATGATATTGTTCACTTTGAGCATAAGCTCTTGTGACTTTGAACAAAGTACATCATAGTGTCTCTCCTAAGGCTTATGGAGCCTTCAAACAGCCTCCTCTTAATCAAGTTTCGACTCCTTTCTCTGGAGCCCTCGAATAAAGTACACGTTTTGTTCGACACGTGAGTCACTTTTGACTATACCTTCGAGGCTCACAATTTATTTGTTTGACATAAAGGATTCTATTGACATGTCTAAGTTAAGGGCACGACTTTGATACCATGTCAGAAATGACGACTCTTCACAATGGCATGATATTGTCCACTTTGAGCATAAGCTCTTATCGCTTTGCTTTGGACTTCCCGAAAGGCCTCGTACCATTCCGGAACGCTAGTAGCAACATTGTTTTGTAAGCGTTTGATTGTTTAGTATCTATATAGGCTGCTTTATAGTATAGTCTGTTTGTAATGGAAGCGTGGTTTTTGATTGATATTAAAATTGCAGCCAATGTGTTTGGAAAGCCAAAGAGCAACACAGATTACTTGCCATACAATGGAGATGGATTCAAGCTTTCAATTCCTTCCAAGTGGAATCCAAGCAAAGAAAGGGAATTCCCAGGCCAAGTTCTTAGATATGAAGACAACTTTGATTCCAACAGCAATCTTAGCGTAATTATCAACCCAACCGACAAGAAATCCATCAAAGATTATGGCTCCCCAGAAGAATTCCTTGCCCAGGTAACAATCTCCCTCCCGGGTCTCTCAACTCTCTTGTCCGCTTTGGTTCGTTACTTATCGTCGTTAGTTTCACAGTTTTAAAACACGTCTGTTATGGAGAGGGTCTAACCCTATTCTGACCAAACTTTGATATCATTTGTAACCGGTCAAACCCACCGCTAACAGATATTGTCTGATTTTGCTCGTTATGTATCGTCTTGTGGTCTGCCTCATGATTTTAATACGCGTCTACGGGCCAAAGTGGACAATATCTACTAGCGGTGGGCTTAGACTATTACAAATGGTATCATAGTTAGACACAGGGCAGTGTGCCAACGAGGACAATGGGCTCCTAAGGGGTAGATTGTGAGATCTCATGTTGGTTGGAGAGGAGAACAAAACATTTCTTATAAGGGTGTGGAAACCTCTCCCTAGTAGATGTGTTTTAGAACCGTGAGGCAAACGGTGATATGTAATGGGTCAAAGCAGACAATATCTACCAGCAATGGCTTGAGTTGTTACGCTTCAAGCCGATTACATGTTAGCGTATGTTTGAGAAGTGATTTTGAAATTGTTGAAATATCTTTATTACGTTTGAAATCACTTTGAAAATCGCGTTTGAAAACGTTATACAGCTGTCGGAGTATGTTAATGTTAACTTCATGTCAGATTTGGTTGAAACTAGAAAAGAAGATTCAATTGACATGCTTCAATTTGGCCTTCGCAGGTTGACTTTTTGCTGGGGAAACAAGCCTACTTTGGAAAGACTGCCTCTGAGGTAAGTTCCCATAATAGAGTTGAAAAAATGATTCATTCTCATTACAACCAATACAAACATAAACAGGAACATGTTCTGTTCTGTTTTCCGACACAATCCTCAACCCATTCTGTTCTGTCTCATAAAAACTGAAAACGAAATCGTTATCAAATAAGACCTATAATTTTCATTTGAGGCTCGACTTCAATAGCCATTCTTTTGTGGGTTGTTCGAGTAACATCTTACATGAACGATCCGATTTTCCTCATTAAAATCTTGATATTGATCAGGGTGGGTTCGACCCGGACGCAGTGGCAACAGCGAACGTATTGGAGAGCTCGGTGTCGGAAGTTGGAGGACAACCATACTACTTCTTGTCAGTGTTGACAAGAACTGCAGATGGAGATGAGGGTGGGAAGCACCAGCTGATCACAGCGACTGTGAAGGATGGAAAGCTTTACATCTGCAAGGCACAAGCGGGAGACAAGAGGTGGTTTAAAGGAGCAAGGAAGTTTGTGGAGGGTGCTGCCGCTTCTTTCAGTGTTGCTTAACAATGTTGATTAGTACTGTGTGTAAGAGCGAGAGAGAGGCGTTTGTTGTATATTTTGGAGAACACTACCTTAGCCAATGAAAGGGATTGCCAAAATCCACCGTTAGTAGGTATTGTCCTCTTTAAACTTTTCCTTATGGACTTCTACGCGTTAGGTAGAGGTTTCCACATCATTATAAAAAAATGTCATTCCCCTCTTCCACCGATGTGAGACTTCACAATCCACCTCCTTCGAGCTCCAACGCCCTCGATATCACTCGGTCCCCTCTTCAATCGATGTGGGATCTCACAATTCTTCCCCCTTTGGAGCTCAGCGTCCATCGTCTATTATTCTTTCTAATCAATGTGAGATCTCACAATCCACCTCTCTTTAGGACTCAGCGTCCATCATCCATTCTTTTCTCTAATTTATGTGAGATCTCACAATCCACCTTCCTTTAGGTGATATGAACTAAAAGACATCAATCATACAATATACTTCAATGAAGATGTGAAGAAAAGGTTGTCAAAATTATCAAAAGATGTTTCAATTCATGCCACATTGAAGAAGAATGAAGTTTGATTGTTATAAATTTTGGGTGAGTTACAATTTAGAGTTATTGTATTTCATTTATGTATTTTAAGACTTTATTTACTCGTTACAATTACATAATGGTCAATTATGGTCATTAAGTATGAATGTTACCACTCTTGGAATGACTTCCGTAGTTTCATTTTGAGGCTATATAAAGCCATGTATGTTGTATGTGTAAGGGACTTGAAAAATATAGTAAAAAGAAGCATTTGTGCTCTTCTTTAGCCAATGACTAAGTTTCTTTGCAATTCTATGTAGTTTAGGTTGCATGTAGAATCATTCAAGCTCGACATGATCAATCTTGCTTGTGGAGTGATTCGAATCTCAAACAATGTTCTTACCTTGAGATATTCGATCAACAAGGTAATCCAAATCTTACTCCCCTTGTAGTGGTTCCTTTTCTTATCATTAGGACTCAGTGTCCATCATCCATTCTTCTCTCTAATTGATGTAAAATCTCACAATCCACCTCCCTTTGGGACTCAGCGTCCTCACCGACACATCGGCTAGTGTCTGTCTCTATACCATTGTAACGACCCAAGTCCATCGATAGCGAATATTATTCTTTTTAGATTTTTCCTTATGAGCTTCCCCTCAAAGTTTTAAAACGATTATAGTAGGGAGAAGTTTCTACACACCCTTGTAAGGAATGGTTCATTCCCCTCTCGAACCAATGTGGGATCTCACACAAGTAGAAGAGGACGTGAATGAATTGGCGCCACATTTGGATGAGAGAAGACCGAGAAACTACCTAAACATGTTTTGGATAAGCTTAAAGTGATCGATAGTTGTTACATACGACTATTAGGTATACATTTCTTTATAATAGTCGCACTAAATAAAATCTTAAAAAGAATACGTGCTTAGATGAGTGGTCGAAAGTCGATCATTCAATATTTTACGGTGATGTATTAAAATAATTAAATATACCAATGAAAAAAAATTTGATTAAGAAAATTTCAACACTAATTTTTTTTTAATAGCAAAACTAGCAAAAATTTCAACCCATTAAAAGGTAAAAATATTAAAATTTAAAAAGATTTAAAGACGAAAATGAACATTTACATCATTTTATTATTCACTTCCGAGATGTGAGGAGTCCCGAAACGTTTGGGCCTGCAGCCCGGTACAGTGCATCAGTTCAACAATGGCCCATTACAGATGCAGAGAGATCAAGAGGAAAGAAGAAGTTTTACGTTAATGACAGCCGAAGGAAAATCAGGCGCCAAATACGTTAGGGCTTTAGAGCACTGCCGTCTCTTGTTCTTTTTTAGTTTTCTTGAAGGAAAAAAGCTACTGAAACCAGTTGGAGGAAGGAAGAAGCTACAGGTTGAAAAGTAATGGTGAAGAAGAAGCCAAAGAACGGAGGGCAAAAGCCGAAGTTCACGGCAGTTGAAAATGTCGGCAGTGCAATAGAAAAGGCACTCAGACGATTTTCATCGTCAAACGACGAAGGTAAATTGGAAAAGAAAATGGATTTTTTCAGTTGTTTTTCTGTCACATTCCAATGAAATTGAGAAATAGTTTCTGGGTTTTAATGGGTCTTGTGATATTTGGCTGCTCGGTGATTGCTTCTTCGACATATTAATGCACATTGGCTTTGTCTGCACCAACTCAAAGTAAACAAACTACCAAAATGCTCTCAAACCCTTCTACTGAAATCACAGGAAAAAAAAAGAAGTTGTTCAATGAGTCTGCCATTATCTGTTGTTTAATTAGCAAGTATTTGGATGTTTCATGCAGTTTTCACTTTCAACGCTGATGATTTGAAGCGTGGACATTATCTTGTTCATCGAATCTGCCAGGAAATGCATATGATATCAAAGAGTTCTGGGTAAGTTTCAATTAGCAATGTCTCCCCTGAGTTAAGAAGGCATCTAGTCATATATAGCCATGTAGGTACCTTCATGTTTTTGAAAGGAAAATTTTCCCATGTTTGAGCGGCATCTAGTCTCATGTATTGGTAACTTCCATATTCTTGGAATGAAGGTTTTTCTGTTCCTCTAGAATTTATTTGGCCCCTGGAATGTTTTGCTTTCAGTTTCTCATTTGCTCAACGCTTTTTGTAGGCATGGAGACCAACTACGTATTTCTGTATATAAATCCAAACCGCAAATTGACACCATGAAATTTTCTGAAAAGTCCAAAAATGTTTTCGACGATTTATTTAGTACGTATCCTCCTGTTGATGAAGAATCGGGCGAGGCAACGACTGGGGAACACAAAAAAAAGGCGGATAAACAAAGGCGAAAGAAAGATGACATTTTGTTTAGGCCGTCTATGAGCAAGGAAGAGATAATGAAGAAATGGGAATCCTATACTGATAGAGTGAAGAGTGTCGCTAATCTGAAAAAGGTTTCTTTGAGTACATGAACAAAAACGATGAAGTTTCTGGTTTTATGCTGTACCTTCATATCTCTTTCTCTTAGTTTGTATCGAATAGGAAATACGCCTGAAGTTTATAAGCTTATCATCTTATCACCAAGGTAACTGAAAGTGAACTATTGGTATATTTTGTTTTGTAGATCACAGAAGAGAGATCTAAGCTTCCAATTGCATCCTTTCAAGATGTCATTACTTCAGCAGTTAAATCTCACCAGGTTGCTTCCGTTTCTTCTGCCTGGTATTCAAATTTACATATCATCTTTCAACCACCTAAAAGACTTCATTATTTTTATGCATGTTTTACATAGTTTTTCGGAGGTAGTGTTGGTTGGTCTCTGACTTCCTCATCTTAATTGATGCATCAATTTCTATCCAAATAACTGTTTAATCATTGGCTTTAAGCAGGTCGTTATCATAACTGGTGAGACTGGGTGTGGAAAGACAACACAGGTTATTCATTCTCTCTTTATGATTCCTAATTTTTCTACTTATTTATTTCCCCTTTGAATTCATTATTTCTTGCTTGCCTAATGCTTTGTTTTGGCTGCAATGAATTTGTTCGAATAAGAATATTCACAACTTGATTTGGGGTTTTAGCATTTGCGAACTAGGGGTTTGCATATCCAAATCGTTTATGAAGGTTCTTAGATTCAACTGGCTAGGGTTACCATATCTGAGTATCCATGTGTTCTATAGTATTACTTGGTCCTCCACAAAGTAGCAGCTGGCACGTATATACCCTGCTGATTTTGCTTTGCATTTTGAATGTGGATAGTGAGAGGAAAAATATGACAATCATCACTAGGTCGTTTTTCTTTCATGGAATGACACCAGCTTGATGATTTTTCATGTTCTGATTTACACTACTTCCTTAAGAGATCTTTTTTTTTACCTTCAATTTCATTTACATGTACTTACATATATATGAAAGTTAAATAAATTTAAAAAAATCGTTGCATTCTATATAATTATTTTGGTAAAATATGTTATAGGTCCCTCAGTTTCTTTTGGATTATATGTGGGGTAAGGGAGAAGCATGTAAGATAGTCTGTACCCATCCTCGACAAATATCCGCTATGTCAGGTTTGTTCTATTTATTACCTTTCTGGCCTATCCTTTTCTTTTTAAAATTATGGTGTTTACTTAGTTTACTATTATTAGTCATTTTACTTCCATTTTCTTTGAATTTGTTGCCTTGTTTTAGTTGCTGAGCGAATCTCCTATGAAAGAGGAGAAAATGTTGGAAGTGATATTGGATATAAGGTATTCTTCTGCCGGTAGTTTATGCAAAATGATATCTAATTAGCTTTCTTGTATAGATCTTTATTATCCTTTAGAGTTTCAATGAGGGGATCTGTTTTGGTCATGATCTTGAAGTAACTGATGTTTATGATGAAAATAGAATTGGACTTCATCAATTTAATCGCTTTGTTCTTGGTGCTTGTATGATCTGCATGCGTGTATGTACCTGTTGTTTGGAGTTCAGCTGGATTGGAATTGTGAAAGTTTCTTATTTTATAGCTTATTTCGAGAATTTGTACGATGGGAATTATTTCTTATGGAGATGTATATAACCTTTAGTTAATTTTGCTTTCATAAACATTATATTAGCTGATGTTTTCCCCCCTTCTTTTGTAATGGAAGACATGGCTGGATAGGCATGGTGGCAGGCACTCGTCAGTCATACTCTGCACATCTCGTAGTCTTTTAAGGGTGCTGATTCCAGAAGGGTTGGAAGCTTCAGAAAGGAGGAGGAAAAAAGTTCTATCTAACTTAACTCATATTATTGTGGTATATATTCTATTTCTTGCTTTCGTATGCTTTAGAAAGTTGCCAAAAAAAAAAAAAAAAAAAAAAAAAAATCTTCTTTGTTTCAGCTGTCTTGAAAACTTTGGTTCTTTTTTTTTTCCCTATTGAAATCAACCTTGAAAAAAATTCCGACTATACATGCCCTAAATTTATCCAAAAGGCAACTACCTGAAAGGATTTCAGGGAGTTAATCTGTAATGTCATTAGTTGGTATCAAGGGATGCCAAATTTCTGCAAAATAAAAGACCTCCTCTTTGCCACAAAGTCACAATGGATAAAGGGGCTGCTCTGAGTCTTCTCATTCTTGCAACACAAGCAGCAAACTTGAGGGAGACAGGGAGAAGC